ATATTAAAGATTTATTTATTATTTAATTATTTATGTTGTGTAATTTAAATTAATTTTTATGTTTATATTAGGTTTTTTTAACTTGTGTTATAGTGCATTTATTGTATATTTTATCATTAATTTATATAAAAAATTAAAAAATAAAATTTAATTTTAACACCAATATTATATGAAATATTTTAATTAGAATGTTGATAAAACCAAATTCAACTTTTATTTTTTTTTCGTATAAATTAATAATAAAAAAAGTATGATAAAACACCCAGCTTAAAGGTACAAATTAAAAATTCTATTTATATTTAATGGATGATATATATTGCTAATAGATATTTTTTAGTGGAAGATTTTGCCCCCAGATATCTTGGGCAACTGTAGTTCTTTGATTGCTAGCCTGGCTTTCTTCACCACCTTTTTTATTTTTTTGCCATCAACTTTTTCTTTACTTTCTGTTTTTTTTTAAAAAAAAAAAATTAGATAATGTGTTATATAATATGATATAGCCCTCCCCTTTCCCTTATCCCTCTTTATCTATTTTAAGATTTGAACTTGATATGTCTAATTTAGAATTTTAAATTCTTAAATACTTGAAAGATCTTCTTAGGGGTTTTTGGATATTCTCTTTTCTCACATCCTTGGTTAATTTGAAAATGAAGATTATCTTTTTTTACATTTATTTAATTTAAAATGAACCATATCTTAGAGAAGATTCAATTTTTTGAGGAAGGTAAATCTTTTTTTTTTAATCTTAAATTATATAATAAAAAGCAATTATCTTTTATTCATTAATTTATTTTACTTGAATACCATGCATCTCGAGCTTAGCGGGGTAAACCTTGTTATGGCATATGTTAGCTAACTTGTAGATAGGTTAAATCTCCCTTTAGTTCCTCTACTTTAGTAAAAAGTCTCTTGTTAGTCTTTCTACTTAAAAAAAATCAATTTTTGATCACTAAAGTTTGAAATCCAATCCTTTTTTAGTCCCTTCATTAAATTTTATATATGTGGCACATTAGATGACAAAAATTTCAAAATAAATGAATAAAAAAAGAATAAAAATAATCCTAATTTGGTCTCTTTACTTTGAAAAAAAACTTTTTTTTGGTTCATTTCTTTTGAAATTTTTATCATCTAACATTAAAATACAACAGAGAGATTAAAAAGGGATTGGATTTCAAATTTTTGAGACCAAAAAGAGGTTTTTTAAAGTAAAAAAAATTAAAAAAACATTTTATCAAAATAAAAAAATCAAATTAAGATTTTAACCTTATAGATATTACCTCACCGTCCGCTTTAAAAGTCAGCCAGAAACTCTTTCAATCAATGCCACTTTCGTAGAAGATGAAAGTTTGACTTATTTGTTGAATCAAACTTCCAAGAGAACACGGACCTTAAATTTGTGTAGGCCATTGATTATAATTCCATGTGAAGAGAATGTAGAAAGAAACAGATGAAGAACGTAACCGGATGCCTCCCTCTTTTTTTTTTTTTTTTTTTTTTTGTTTGAAAGATAATTAATGAAAATTTTCTTATTACTAACAATGTATTCAAAAATGTCAGCAGAAGTTTTAGAGCACAAGACTTGAACCTACACCACACATAAAACTCAAAAGTCAAACATGCATACTTGTGATAACGTGAAACTCGTAACTTGTAGGGCCCGAACCTTATACTTCTTCTCGTTGGACTTAGTTGTTTTATTTAGATTTTTTAATAAAATTTGATTAAATAAATTTATATAGTAAATAGATTAAAATT